TTCTGAAAAAGCTGCAGTGCAAATCATCTCCGGAACTTATGTATGGAGAAAACTGTTTGCACACACGTGCAGTACAGTGAAATCGATAGAGGTTCGATTTGCAACCAAGCAAACACAAGAACACCTGATTGACCAACGAGTACAAAATAGAAGTGTGAGTAGGATAAGCAAATTGAAGGCAAAACAAAGCAAAGTATTTGAACATGACACACTGTCACTGCGAGATTGTTACTGTTCGAATTAGGGAGACGAAGCGTGTGTTCGCCAATACATATTAGTTTATTTTATAATCCTTTTAAGTAAAATGTATAAGAAAAGCGCTCCCCTGCATTCTAGTTATCCAGCTCAAGCGGGAGTTTCTTGTATCAGCTTCTGCCTTTTTCTGCAGAAACTCTTCTAAGGAACAACAATTCTCGCTGATGACTGACGGTAGTAATCGGATCTTCTTTTCAAATTAGAGTAACTACTCAAATTAGTGAGGAAATAATGGAATTTTGGACAGTTGATTTCAAGCGAAACACAAATCTATCCAGCCTATTATCATAGAGAATTATCAACTTTTAGAAGCCTGTGTTTGATGCGATAAACGTAATAAAATAGTGTTACTGTTCCCTTTGATAGTTACTTTTCTCTTGTTAAGAAGTAGTTGCATTAGTACTAAGCAGAAGGTGTGAAATGATGGGAAATATTAAGCGTCGGAGAAATCACTCGACATGATTAGCATAAACATTCAGCGAATGTTCCAAGCACAATTGTTTAAAAACGACGCATTTTATTCAACTTCTCTGTTGTTCGTCTCACCGAGTCAAAATAAAGTATTCCTCAGCATTTAATATCGTTATCTCAGGTAATAACCGAAAGTTACATAGTGAGGTCATTTAATATTTAACAAACTCATTTGGGCGAAGGAACCGCGTGTACGGAGAAATAAGTCAGCTTACTTGTGAGTCGCGCGCTAAAATACAGTAACCGCCAGCAATTTCGACTTGCGAAACTGCGAAAGGTAACCTATAAGCAACCAACTAAAAGTGAATTTATATTTTTTGATGACATTCTCAGAATGGTAATGAAGTACTGGACTTATTTTTAAAGGTATGAAACACTTCCGTATAAGTGAGAGAAGAGCTGATATCAATACTGCAGTGAACGCGAGAACATATCAATATGTATCACGTTGTGCTGACGAATATACAAAATATGAAAACATTTATTCGATTAAGTTATTTCGCTGGCAAAGAGAACGCTTTGCAATCCTGAACAGCACTTGCTTGAAGGAAATCATGAGAGCCGGTAAAAATACCAGGCTCTCTGACAAGACCATAGGAAAATGCTCAGTCAGCCTGAAACTGATAAGAAGATAAGGGATACAAGCTATTTTAAATATTTTGCTAAAACAGCAAATGATGGTATGCAACTACTGAAAGATATACACACTGGAGTACGGAAGTGAATTCCTGTAAACGTGGCACCGTGTATTTTCTACACCTGTGAGCGTTAGATATATACGTGAGTAGATCAACACTAAACATTGAACAATGAATTTATACGGATAAAGAAGCGTTGCTGTACAAGTCCCGTGTGATATTTGGTGAGGTTATCGAGACAACAATAATGGTAGTAATAATAGGAAAACAGTTATTAGTTTAAATATGAAAATAATGACTTATCATTTGCTCTGCTTTATTCCTGCGATCCGCTTAGATTCACAGCACCTACAGTGAACGTCAAATAATTCCATAGTAAACTCCAGGGATAGGATGGAGACGTAGTCATAAGTGACGAATTGTAAGTGCATGAGTGCATCATCCAACCGTCTTTTAAATACTGTTAATGTCGGTGAGAGACGACCAATTCTGGGAGAGCATTTCACGGATGACAGACACGAATGGAAAAGAAATTTCTGCGGCACTCCAGACATCTATACTTTACAGCGAGTTTGAATGAATGGCCCCTCAGTTTCGTATTGCTGCTGCATTGCAATAAAGGGTGGCAAACATGATGTGGGTCTTGCAGAATCAAGTACACCGTAATCAGGTCTCCTCGTATGCTGCGATAGATTCCACTGAATGCCCCAATCGTTGCCGCCTCACCTTGTATAAAAGATTTCGCATTTCAATTACCTTCTTAGATACCCGACGTTGTGGTTGCTCCAGTGCATTTAGGTCGTGTTTCAGCCATGGATGCCAGGCTTGAATTGCGTATTCACCATGGGGACGAACATATGCACTGAGCATTTGTCGAAATACGGAGCTGTTTATTTAACCAAACACCCGCCTCAACAGCCGCAGGTGTTGGTTCCCAATCTTCCAGGCCTTTCCGGATTGCCTGGAGCAACCGAAGTCATCTTGAACCAGGACATGCAAGGCACATTCGAGAGTTGATTGTTGTAGTATATTGGATCGAACAGGTGTGATTAGCTGTTCTGATGTTGTATGGAGTGCACATTGCATTTACTGATGTTGAAATGCAGTAGGTTTTCGGTTGACGATTGATACGCCGTATCTAGATCACTCCAAAGCACATGTTGGTCGGTGTTAGCCTGGATCCTGCGCCAGATCTTCTTATGGTCGGCAAACATTAGGAAGTTTGAAGCACTTCCTTGTGTAAGGTCATTAATAAACAGCAAAAACAAACGTGGACCTAGAACTGAGCCTTCGGGCACACCACACTCGACTTGTATGGGGTCAGATAAGGAGCTTCAAACTCTGACCACTAATTGCCGTTGAAGTAGAAAGTTGGCAATCCAGCTAAAATCAGGGTCGTCCATCCCGTAATGCTAGAGCTTGGAGATTAGTA